GATATATTACCCATTGAGAATATGAATTCAAAGTTGATACCTCAACTATGTACTAGACCATAATTTTGGAGTGGTAGTGGTCATTGTCCATATTCATTGCAAGATTAGTTCTTGGACATCAAAATGTTGCATTTCCATTTTATTTATATGATGTTTACAAAAATGACAAGAAACGAATATTCCTCGGAAACACAAACACTAAATCTTTGGTTGAGTTTTAATTAGGTTATATGAAGTACTTTGTTTTTTCTTATTCTTATAATTTGTCTATTAAAATGATATGTGCCAAATACCTCTATGCTTTGTAATTTTATTGTCATATCTGACCTTTAAAACTGAAATACAGCCATACAAATACAATTGCTTCACGACAGAAATACGAATAGAACAGAGTTAACCAAGAGAATTAAAGACTTTTGCAAGAAGTCTTCTTCTGGTAAACTTAATAAAAAAATAAATTTATCACAAATACATTGTAAATGAAATTAGCCGATTCGAATCCTTTACTTAGTTAAATCACTTATTTTTGATTTATAATACTACTGGACATTAGCAGATTATCTGATGATCGCATCAACTATTCGTTTCTTTATATTTTCATTAGGATCTATTGAAACAAATTATACATATTTCTTGCATCATTTTTCATCATCATCATTACTCATTACATACACCCACCAGTTCTTGACATTTTTCACTTCTCGTAATCAATCATAATTATTTACTGGCAAATAAATATACTCTCATCTTATTGTCTACGTCTATTTCTTATAAACTGAAATAAAAACAAACCCCAAGTTGTTGGACATTGTCACGAACAATTCTCAAGGTTTGAGCTTATGAACTGAAAGCCCAAGAGGCAAGTTCAATTTAATGAGTTGTGAATGGTCTCGGCTTTGGGCGACAAACAAACAACGCACATTAATCATGGCTAGCTGTTTTGTGTACTTAATTATTAAGTAGAAACTGTGACAAAAACAAAGTTATAAACAAGGGCGTCCGTGTAAAAAGGGACAACTTGTACTCTCAGTATTGGACGTACGTGATTTTGATAGGGAAATAAGCTAATTTTTTTTTAACAAACTTCAAAATGGATATTCAAAATGAATTTCTCAATTCTACTCTATTTCTTTTGTCAATGTTCTTCAAATATTGCTATTTGAAAATATATTTTCACTAGTTTAAAATTGAATTCGGTTTTTGCTACCTTCCGTATTGATTGGATTTTTAATCATTACAATAACAAAGACGTTGTCTACATTTATCAACTTCTTCGCTTCATAATCATTATATTAGCTATTGCCTGTATTGTCCACCATAGACTGCCATAAAGAACGATTTTGAGCCATCTGCATTCAAGTGCTGCTTCGGCGCTTAGTTCTCGTAAACCATGCATCAGTCTTCGTTGTAAATTTCATTGTCATTTAGATATTTTATACAGAAGATATTGTATTTATAAATATAGGATATATTTTTTACCTAAGTAGATAAATTGTTTATTTTATAATCAAATGCTAAAAAATAAATTTTCAAGGGTTACTCTGGCCTTACTGACATTAAATATTTGTCAATCAAAAAGAATATATGGTACGAGGCAGAGGCGGGTCGCTTGTAAAATAACTTATTCTGGCTGAAAGATAAAAATATATAGATCAATACCATTGCAAAATAAGTTAATAAAATCAGTTCAGTATTGCCAAAGATATTGCGTAACACGCATATGTTATTGATTTGATTCAGAGGCGTGCTAGGGGGATTGTCGACGATCCCAGGCTAATTGGTCGTACCTACCCTTAATTTAAGACGATTCTTTGCTTCTCTCTGCATTTTCCACCGTCTGTATAACGGATTCTGTTTTAAAGAAGTCTTCGATATGATACCTACAACTACTTTTTACCATCGTACCGTTCGCCATCGTCATCCATCCTCACACCATAGAGCTGGAATGACACGCACAGTGTTTTATTTTTATTTTTATTTATTTACACTTTATTGCACCAAGTAAAAAGAGAAATAACAAATACAGTAAATATTAATGAGAAGTGATACAAAAGGCGGCCTTATCGCTAAGCAATCTCTTCCAGACAACCTTTGGCTAGAGGACATTGAGAAAAAGACAAAGAGTAGGTGGCGCACTATTATATAGTGCAGTGCAGTTTAAGAGGAGCTTCCTCCTGCGAACACTCAGATTGTGGGATGGTTTTCTTGCCGAAATTTTCCCTAGACACAGCATGGGGGTTTTCAAAAGGGCGTATTAAGGTTTCTTAAGGATTGGCAATGCGCGTATCAAAATAGGTTAATATTGTTAATATTATTAATAATATTTAATATATAATATGATGTGTGGGGTACTACGTAATACTAACTTTACAAGTATATGATATATTCTTTAGCAATATAAAGGTAAGCCTCTTAGTAATAAATAGAAATGAAGCACAAGTTCACTTAGTTCATTTATTTTAGATATCATACTATAAAACTATTTACTTATTTTACTTTGTATTTGATATATAACAAATAATATAACATAAATACCCAACTTCTGTTAATCCATTCACTCTTATTTAACTACAGCTTCTTTAGGACTTCCATCGACAATAATTGTGATATATTTTATATAATGACCACGTGGTTTATTACACTTGTTCACTCTTGATACGGCAGGGAGATACGCTCTGTTCAACGGTTGGACAAGAAGTGTCTCCCTACCCAAATAACAATCTTTTATGTATACAGGACCGAATTCGAGTAAACAAATCAGCGAGACCACGTGTTCTTACAATTTCATTACTTTTTATTCAAGTATCATGACAATAAATAATTATAAAATTAATTAAAATATAAATTAGTGTTCTATTCTAATTTATTACCAAATTCGGTATAATAACAAATTTAATACTTTATTATATATAAAGTAGTTACTTTGATTTCTATTAATAAATGTAGGTACACATTTTGAGACAAGATGTTTAAGAAAATTAATATAATTTAAAATAAATATTTAACACGCGCGTGATATCTCTGGTGTTACAGGCTACGGTACTTCCGTTTATCATCAGACGGGTCATATACATCTTTTCTATTATAGTAGTATAAAGAAAAACTGTTAAAAATGCCGACAAGTTGAGACCCTTATTTTAGAATACACTTTAAAAGTAAGTACAGTAACAATAATCGCCCTTTATTACCTTTGTACTCGTATAAAAAAAAATTAATGTACCTATATGTAAATAATGTATATAACGTAACCATGAAGCTAATTATAAACCTACTTTGAAACTTTAATGACATGGCGGGACATGAGCTATTAAAAGACATTTTGTCCCAAATGTTTTACCAAGGCATGGTTATTTAGTGATGGACCGCATCTGGTCGACTCGAATACTAAATTAAATCCTAATTAATATTATAAATGTGAAATTGATTTTGTTTGTTTGTTGCCTTTTTGCATCTTAACGTCTTAATCAATTATTATGAATATATATAATATGGGATGGAGGACGACATAGGCTACTTGTTGTTCCAGTCAGTGAAGATATCTCGGTCACGCAGATGAACTCGTGGGTAAAAATTTGTACTACCATATGATATTATTGCTCAAGTACTCCAGTATTCGATATGTACAGATTTCGTATACAGATTTTAGACGCTTACAGTATTTTAATGTTACTGGCGACACTATATACAAGTGAGTTTTTATATTAGTTTCATCGTTTCAGTTATTTTTTCTTTATAAATAGTAAACTAAAAATGCTTAAATTACTAAATATTTATTATGTTTATTAAAACTAAGCTTTAGAGATCGCTATTAGAAATTTTAAACATTAATCGAGTCTAATGAAGTATTCAAATACCCAAACAAGAATTTGAGTTCTTGTTCGAGTCCTCTGATTCGAGTCAGGAATCGATTCATTTATTTATTCTTACGAAAAGAATCGTATATCAATAAAAGGTCGGCTCGGCACATCACTATGGATATGTTTTCGCTGACTGTATTACTTCGTATATTATGAGCGAGTTCCGTCTCTGGGATTTATGATCCATTTTCGTTTGACAAAGTAACGTAAACACATAACAATTATGTATGTATATGTGCACGTAGGTATTATTATATGTTTTGGAATGGATAAATTGATATTCACAGAAAGGTTTCAGCTATCCAACTTTTAGATTGCTTAAAAGGTTTATATTGGTACATTACTAGTAAAGTATAACTGTAATAATAGATATCCACAGATTATAAATAATAATATTATAGATGTGAAAGCGAGTTTCTGTTTGTTACCTCTTAGCGTCTTAACGGTTGAACTAATTAGTATGAAATTAGGTATTAGTAAATTAGATATTAGGGAAACTATATCTTCATATAATGTTAAAAACTATATTTGTTACAAGTTAGTATATGCACACCCAAAACTGTATTCGAAATTGTATCAGTCATTAACTATGCATTGCTGAAAATGTCCTACCCCATAAGGGGGTTTTTTTTTGAGGGGTGAAAATGGAATGGTAACTTCGCCTGCGCCAATGAGATATGCCGGCGGAGCACCAGTTAGGGGTGATAGATGAGAATGAAAACAGGCCAGTTAGCCCATCATGATGAATTCATCAGGAATTAACCATGATAGTTTCCAGGGGGAACCGCGAGGAGGTTGACCTGGTTGGGTATATTGCTAGCAATGGGATTCTCAGTCTCCATTACTAACAATCCCTTTCTTAGTCTTTAGTTTTCTTAGTCTTCTCTTACAACACCCATGTAAAAGGAAAGGGTGGCCCATTTTATGACGGAGCTACGTGACAATTCGGCGACGTGTATTTGTAAAACTATAATAAAAAATGAAGTTTGTTTCTTTTTTTCGTTGAAATTAGTATTTAAAACGACAATAATACAAAAAAAAAAAAAAACAAAACAAATGTCAGTAACGGTAAAAATAAAGATTTGGTTTCTTTGTTATTATTTTTAAACTTTAAAAGACTAAAGCAAATCTCGATTGTTTCAGATTGAACCACGCGTTAGCCGGCCTCCGGCCGTGGTGGTGGCATGCATGCAACGTTGCGTTGCACGCTGCGTGTTGCGTGCTTGTTGCACGCGCCTGCGTTACGATAGCGCGTTTGCAGCGACCTTTTGCAGCGCTTGCGGCGTTGCTGTTTGCTGTACACCCTGTACATACAGAGGCGGTAAATATATTTTTAACTGTTTTAGTGCTATTGATTTTTACTCATATCTATTTAAAAATGTTAAAGAAATCTTTGTCTTGTTGATGCCATTTACCCTTGTCTCTAAAAAAACTGTATCTCCTCAAAAAAATATCCAATTTTAATAATTTTCTACAGCGAGCTAAACAGTAACTGATTTCACGTGGTACTTTTAGTTACAATACGCACGAGCGCCATCACGCTCGTCAGCACTCAAACGGTTAAACAACTTGGAATGACAAGTAAACGGTAGGCTATTAGTTTTGCTCCTGAAAAGCATCCTGGAAGTATAGAATACGCTGTGACAGCAATGATACCCTTCATGTAATGCCATTCCTGAGGATTTAAGTATTATAGCTTCGTAACATATAATTCGTAGCTTTACTACCATATCTCACCTTCAAATCGCAACAGAATTATTTAAGTACAACTGTTTAGCTTGCAGAGATATATGTGGGATATAACTCCTGTTTTTACAAAGATCGACTGGGAAAAATTATTGTATAGCATTATATTCCGTCTTTTGTACCTAACAAATGTGGTCAGTAAAGAATATATAAATAAATAGATAAAAATACCCATGCAGATTATTTAGAATGATACAGCATATTTTTTCTTGATTAATTCTACCAAATTTTCTTCTTTTTTTTTATACCACTGAGGTGGCAAACAAGCATACGGCCCACCTGATGGTAAGTGGTTACCGTAGCTTATGAACACCTGCAATACCAAAGGTATTACGCGCGCGTTGCCGACCCTGAAGAAACCTCTTTACCCCCCTTTTGAAGAACCCCATGCTGTAGTCTCTTGGGAAAACCTCAGCAGGGAGTTCATTCCATAACCTGAGTGTTCGTGGGAGAAAACATCTCTGAAACCGCGTTGTACGCGACCATTTAGGCTGTAAGGTATGAGGGTGAACTCGCTGTCGATGGCGAGCCGTACGATGATAGAAAGTGGCCGCAGATATCATATTGAATAATTCCTCTGAGCACAAGCCGTTGTACAAGCGGTAGAACACGCAGAGTGAGGATCTTCTATCAACAATAATTTCTTATTTCACACAGTACGTCCATTTTTAATATATTTTTTTTTATTTAGAATACATTGTTTATCAAATTTAATATACACAGCAAATTAAGTACTAAAAAAAGTAATTTAAATAATTATATTCCATAAAATTAACCAAAAAGATATGCGGCTGCATCTTCTCTGATTTAAGTACACTTTTTTATATCAACAGGTGGCCGGCGTAGTAGGCAGAGCTGATGTTCTAGCGTGTATATTTTTCCTGTCTTCACTTTTAGTATACCACAGGTAATATGATATGTATTACACCTATTTTTGTTTTGAGATGACGTCAGACTCGACAAGTTCTTTTTATGTTGATAAATTTCAATGATAACTTTATAAGAACGGTATTTTTTTTCACAATCCAGTAAGGGTTGTGCTCAAGCAAACAATTGTGTTGTTACCACATTAAAATTAATGGCAGTTCTCGTACGTGCTAACCCTTGTAACATAAAGACCTTAAGTGTCTAATAATAGCTGCATGTAATTATTCTTCAAATTGAAATACAGCTGAATCTAAAACGTTATGCAAAATTGAAAAAAAAAATAACATTATACCTTAACATAATTTTTTAACATTATGGAACTAACTTCCCGCAGTAGTATTTCGAAACTGATACGACATTAAAAATTTCAAAAAAAAAAAAATATACTACTTTAAATGTTTGGTATTATTTCTTTAAATTTGTAAATTCTTCATGAATAAAAATTCATAATATTTGAAAATCAGTGCAGCGAATCTCTTGCTCAATTGATAAGAGCACTGGCTTCGACACGACACAGAAGATGCGGGTTCAAATCCCGACCTAAAATTTTAATTACTCAATAAATATTGGAATATTATTTTTATATTATAATAATATATTTTCTTTAATAATATTATTAATACATCTATATTAAATAGCCTTTGTATTTTGTTGTAGACCTACTAGCAACAAGAAGTGTGTGTGGTTGAGTATAGTGCTCGGTGCACTGAGCATGCTCGCCAAGGAGACTGGAGTCACTATACTCATGCTTAATTTAGCATTCGACTTTTATAGATGTTGGCCCTATGTAAAAAGGTAAAATTTATTATTAATATAACATTTAGTATAAGTATATCACTAATAAACATTAATACAAACAATAGAGAATAGAAGAGGCAATATGCTGTGTTAACCTATGGAACATGACGATTTTTTAAAGAGCATACTAGAAGGACAAATAGAGGGCAAAAGAGAAAGGGGAAGACCGAGGAATAACTACATAGGACAGATAAAGGAAACACTAGGTGTCATGTCGTATAGGGAGGTCAAAGATATGGTCTGGAATAGAGCTGGCTGGAAGAGAATGCATGAATTAGTTGCATGGACAAGAGGAACCTCTTAAATGAAAATAAGAAGTACTAAATACTGGAATTAATTAATTTTAGACTAACTCTTCAGTGACGGAAAACACCAATAATAAATCAAATTAAATTGAATGACGGCGGTAGGCTCGCTCCCTGTCACGTAGGTATTTAATATGCTCGGCGAAATATGGGCATATCGAGTAGGGATGGGTGACATATAGTAACATCTATATATTTTAGTTACAATATCTACATATATACTGATCCCATAACAAATATGTTAAAAGTCTGTTATCCAAAAAAAAATTGTGGGTAACAAACTTTTGACATATTAGAAAATAGATACCGATATGGGCGATATCGAAACAGGTGATGACCTTTTTTCTGATAATAATGCTCAGAAGAAACGAATATATAGATATCGAATCGATATTCATATTGCCCATGTCTAATATCAAGTGTTTCTTTCGCTACGACGACAAATGCCTCTGACTATCCTCATTAAGTATTGCGGTCGTGAGTATATTAATTTTATCATACTTTTTAAGAATTCAACACAAATTTGACACAAAAAAACTGGTATAACACCACGTATCGTCCAATATTATTTTACGCTAAAAGAAGCAACTAAAGGGAAAAAGCCGAATATACTAGTGCAAACAAAACTCGAATAAAATATTTTACTAAGTCGTCCATTCAGCGTGACTATAATAGGCTGTTACATTTTGTTTCACTAAAAAAATACCGACCTCAATTTTGGTAAAACCAGTTAGCTAGATTTAAAAATTAAACTATTTTTGATAAAAAATCCAAATTTGATAAAAAAAAATTATGAAACCGTTTCTGAAATATGTCCTTTTATATAAAAAAAAAATAATAATTTTTCAAATTGGTTTATAAACGACAATAACAAACATAAAAAACAGAACTGAATTAAATTACAGTCGACTAATTATATATTTTGCGGCTTTGTCCACATGGATTAAAATAAAAAATCCAAGCCCAACCCATGTTATGTATAAAAAATCTATTTTTTATATATAAAATGGGTTGGCCTTGGGTATATGAACTATTTATACATTCAAGTCTGGGCGGCTATTATTTTTTATTCATGATAATGGAATGGTAACCCCGTCTGCGCTATCAGTACACGCTGGCGGAGCACTAGTGAAGGATGATAGATGAGGATGAAGCAGGTCTGTTGGCCCATCATGACAATACAACAATAAATTAACCACGATGGTTTACAGGGGAATCACGTGAAGGTCGACCTGCCACGGTATATGGACCTATTACATCTCATTACTAACAACCCCCCCTCCTCCCTGTTCGGCTTCATTCGGAACAAACATTCAAACTCCTTAAAACATTCGACAAACAAAAAATGCCTAAATTTAAGCTTTTTTATTTAATAAAAATTATTTCTATTCTATTCTTTTCCAGATCTATATGTTCACTGAAAATAGAGAAAAAGTGCACTGGACTGTCTATAAGAAGCATCAAAGTAATATTGTCCCTCGCCTTGCTCATTTGCCTGAGGTTGGCACTACTGCAGGGTACGTGGCCAACGTTCTCACCACAGGACAACCCAGCTGCCTTTCATCCTAGTTTTTTTGTTAGGTAAGATATTAATAAATATACATATATATATATATATATATATATATATATATATATATATATATATATATATATATATATATATATATATATATATATATATATACAAAAGAAACACACAGCCATGCAAATGCAACTGCTTCACGGTAGAAACACGAATGGGATAGAGGTGCCCAAGCAAACGTCTTCTGTACATAGTCTCCCTCTGCTAAACTCTGGTAAATGTAACAAATAAATTGATTTTCACATTTTATAATATTAGTAAGGATATGTTGTATACGTACATTGGAACGCAATATCCAAAACCAATACTGGAAATAAACGCGTAATGCGGTCTGTGTGTTTCCGTTCTAACAATTTCCACCTCAACATCAAACCCCGTAGATCACTGGATAATAAAGACGGAATGAAAGATTGAAAGTAATATATTAGAAACGAACTCATCTCGATTCACGTGATAGAGTATTTAGTGGCGTCACAAAGCCTAGTTTACACTGTCTTAGTGATTTAGTCGAGTGACGAGTTATTTAGTAAAAAAATTTACTCTACCAGAGATGTCAATATGTTTGAATAACAAAATTTTTATCTTACATTTCGCTTGTCTACATTATTGAAGCTCCATGAATTGGATTTAATTTAATTATACTATAAAGACTGATTTGTTTACCATATTTTTTGTGTAACATTATATTTTACTGTTTATTATTAAATATAGAAATAAAAAGATTAAGTGGAACCATTTAAAAAGGTCAATTTATCATCACTATAACAACATTAACGTTCTACTACAAGACTCGGGTAAATCCTCGTAAGAAGGGAAAATTAAGCCAAATGTTATGTTGGTCAGGCAGCTCGATATAGAGTACTTCAAGTTTTTCTCTCTCTTTATATTTCGCTTTTTCATATTCACATCCTGGGTCTGGAAATTAAAAAGAGAATACATTATAATTTTATTGAATTAGGAAATGAAAATATTATTATATTTGTAGTAGTTATTATTTTCATTATCGACTAAATTTAAAGATTACACCAACAAATGCCATCATCCTCATAAAAGCGTAAAAAATTTTATTCCAAATTTAATTTTATTAGACACGCTACAACTTGGTCAAGCACTAAATTATAATAAAGCGATCTTTACAAGTATTACCGTGTTTATGAAAGTAGTTATAATATTTTTTATCATCATCATCAGCACTGCCATAAGGAATAGGATCATTCCTTATAGCAATTTATTATTGGAAGGATTTTCATATAGTAGTTACCACGCTTGGCAGGCGGAATGGCAACTGCAGTTTGGCTTTTGGTGATGTTTTGAGAGAGAGGGACGCTACTGCTTATCCTTCGATCGATTAAGTTCTCTTAATCGTCTCTTACGACACCCACGGGAAAGGAAGGAGCAATATTTTCTATTACCTTCTAAATGTTTTCTTCACCCGTATATTATTTTTAAATTCCCTTTCTTAAAAATGAATAAATAACTGGCAACACATTAGACAAGAGGTTCGTAAGATATATACGTTGACAGCTAGTAACGTTCCAGACAGCTGGTAATAACATACTTGTAGCGCTCTCTGAAGATAAATTGATTTATGATGTCTTACTACTACACTAGACAAAATGAAGTCATAATAAGAAATAAGAATTATGTGGTTCCATTTCTACGTTGCTCTCTTGGCGAAACACAGTTTTATATTTGACCAACAATCCATTTTATTCTGACCAAAGAATTGATTTGGAGCAGTTGTATTTTGTTACAAACGTAAAAGACGAGAGTAATTTTATTTATTGGGTTCGTTACATTGTAGCAGCAACAGAAAATGTATTGTTTATTTTACTTCTGTTTTGGAAATGGTCAAAATAGTATTGTTATTATGATATGTGTGGTCCCGACGTAGAATAGGCCGCCCCTTCCTTTCCTATGGGTGTCGTAAGAGGCGACTTAGAGAGGGCCAGGGATGGGCAGCAGCGCCCCTCTTAAAACATCTCGAAAGCCTAACTACGGTTATCAATTCGCCTGCCAAGCATGGCAACTACTAGTAAGACCATTCAAGAGGGTGGGGGGGGGTTATGTTCAGCAAAGTCAGTTAACATATCCTGGCCACGCAGACAAAGGACGAAGTAGCGGGTAAAAAGTATTATTATTATTTTTTTTTTTTTTACAACACAGGGGCAAACGAGCATGCGGCTCACCTGATGGTAAGTGACTACCGCCGCCCATGATCACCCACAACACCAGCGGCATTGCAGGTGTGCTGCCGGCCTTTTTATAAGCCATCAAGTCGTTTTACTATTAAAAATAACTCTAATGTAAACTTGAGACGTAAAATGAGCTGATGTTACGACTTCTCTACTGGGAATGAGAAAACGTTGCTTGTTCTTAGAAATCCGTGAAATCAGCATTCAAGTAAATAATTGCATTTAAAAGCTTATGATGGTAATAGCTTTTTAGCTGTTTAAAGAGTAAGGCTTCAATTAATGCTGTTTATCAGGAAATAAATGTGTTTTTTTTATTATTATGCACTTTAAAATGGCTAAAAAATCAAGCTGATGACCCACCTGATGGAAAGCTGTAACCGTCACCTGTAGACATGAGCAGTACCATGGAAATAACAGAGTATATTTTTTCGCCCGTGATACGTACCTCCATTCGTTTCATTCCTGAGGAGTAAGGTGTTATACCTCTCTACCCTGTAAATTCTTAGCTATATCGCACCCTCCATACCGAAAGCCATGCAAATACAACCACAGAGTTACACAAGCAAAGTAGTTGCCGCTTCCTGTAATTGCCACGTTTGGCAGGCGGATTGATAACCGCAGTTAGGCTTTTGGTGATATTTTAAGAAGTATAATGCTGCCCAAACATCGACCCTTAAGTTCCTTTAGTCACCTCTTATGACACCCACATGAAAGGGATGGCCCATTCTATGCCGGGACCACACAGCATAGAATGTTTATTAAGTAGTGTCCGTGTAATGGGTATTTTCGTTGAAGGATTTAAAAAGCAATGTGACACGAACCGTTTAAATGTAAATATTATAAGTATTATATTATTACCAGAGGGAGACTTTGTACAAAAGTCGATTGCTTTGGTACCTCTGTCCCATTCGTGTTTCTACCGTGAAGCAGTTGTGTTTGCATGGCTGTGTTTCGGTTTGAAGGGTGAGATATGGCAGTGAATTTACAGGCTACAGAAGAATAACACCTGAGTCCTCAGGAATGGCAACGCATGGGGGGTATCATGGGCGAAACAGTATACTCAGTCGCCCATTGTTTTCTCATTGTGATTATTTCTTGTAATTATTTATATTTATGATAAGTTTACTATTCTAATCTTTTGGAGGAAACAATAAAGAGTATCTATCTATCTATCTATCTATCTACCTCTATTATGTCCATGGTACTGCTCATGTCTATAGGCGACGGTCACCACTTTCCATCAGGTGGGACGTCAGCTTGTTGGCCATTCTAAGTTGTGTAAAAATGAAAATATTATGAGTACACTTTATTTCTTAAATACACATGGAGTTTCATGCTGCCGCCGTAAAAGTGTTCTTATACGACCCGTAATTTCTACGTTATGGTTGGACGTAACATGAAAATTGCAGGTTAAAATAAATATCTGATATTTTTTTCACTGAACTAAATTACAGATTGCCAACCTTTAGTTACATTTGACAAGAATATAATAGTAAATTGAAAAATACGGATAAGTGTGCATGATACTTGGTTTAATAGGATTTTAATAATTTGATTTACAGTTAACTGGAAAATGAATTTATGAATTATATACTAGTTTGCCGTGTGGTCGCCGCATAGGAAAGGTCACCCCTTCCTTTCTCGTGGGTGTCGTAAGAATCGACTAAATGGAGCGAGGGATGAGTAGAAGCGTCCCTGTTCATCTCTAAAACCCGCCTGCCAAGCGTGGCAACTACCGGCAAATCATCCAAGTGGGAGGCTTATGTTCAGCAGTGGACAGTTAAAGACTGATTTGATGATGATGATGATATTAGCTTTTACCAACAACTTCGTCGACGTAATCAGAATTTGTTGTTGTTGCGTTGTTGTGTAATTACATATTTTTAAAATTATATATGTATTCTATTATTATTCTTATGTTTCACATATGTATTATAATTACAAATTATTCAACAGGCTGATGACATTCTGCTACCTGGCAGCGTTTAACTGGTGGCTGATGTTGTGCCCGTGGTCACTCAGCCACGACTGGCAGATGGGGTCGGTGCCGCTCATCACCAGCGGCTGGGATCCCAGGAACCTGCTCACCTGTGCAGCATTCGGGGCCTTACTGCTGTTGTGTTACCGATTTATAGCCGACTTAGAGGTTTGTGTATTTGTCTAACTTATAATTAGTGTATTGTACTAACAATTTATGTATTGTTCTTACTAATAGCATGTGTAATGTACAAATACTTACTAACAGTTGGTGTATTGTATTTATAATTAATATAGATAGATATTTTTTATTATTTCGTCCAAAAGATTACAGTAGTAAACTTATTATAAATATAAACAATTATAATTTTATCTACCAGGTACAGAGACACACTCCGGCTGTAATCGGCCTCTTACTGTTGGTGATACCCTTCGTGCCTGCTAGCAATTTACTAGTTACCGTCGGCTTCGTTATCGCCGAGCGGGTCCTTTATATACCCAGGTAAATATAATGATTTATCTGAATAAAAGTGGACGACAGAGGAAACCAGGAAAGGATGTTAGAAACGTACGTATATTAGCAGAAGGAACTTAAAAGATTAGGGCTGTGAAGGGAAGCTAAAAGGAAACATCTCTATTGTGTATATTTAAAATTTAACAATAATTATACCAGAGGGAGACTTTGTACAAAAGTCGTTTGCTTGGGTACCTCTGTCTCATTCGTGTTTCTACCGTCAAGCAGTTGCATTTGTATGGCTGTGTTTCGGTTTGAAGGATGGGATATGGCAGTGACTTTACAGGGTATAGAGAAATAACACCTGAGTCCTCAGGAATGGCGACGCATGGGAGGTATCATGGGCGAATCATTATACTCCATGTCTATAGTACTGTTCATGTTTATAGGCGACGGTAACCACTTTTCAACAGGTGGGCCGTCAGCTTGTTTGCCATTCTAAACTGCATAAAAAAAATATATAAAAACTATAAGTAATATTGTACATGTGGCTTATATTCCACAATATACTATGAAAATGATCCTAATAAACTCATTAAATAACATACTGTTTGATGATCTGATAATGATTGATACAAATTTTTAATTCGAAAATTAATTTTGTTTTAAAAAAAAACAGCACTTAAGTTTCTTGCTAGTTCTTCTCATATAAAGTTGCATTGAAAATGGGCACTAAATTCAATAAATTATATAAATTTTTTATAGTAAAAAGAAAAAAAAAACTATTAAACTATTAAAGTTTACTTCAACAGTAATCATTTTTATTTATAAAAATGTTTAAATACAGATTTGTAGATATATTTTAGAACTTCTTTTAATTGATGATGGTAATTTATTACTTTATATATAGGCATATTAAGGTTTCTTCGATGTTTGGAACGCGCACGTAATACCCCTGGTGTTGAAAACGTCCGTTACAAGGAAGGCACTCGTTTACCATCAGACGGGCAGTATGCTTGTACGCTAATTTTTTGTATAAAAAAAATATCATGCAATAAATATCTTTAATTTTATTTATTAAATATTTTAATTTTAGTTAGTCATTAGTCACATTCACTCAAGACTAAAGATCACGAATTGATTCCGAAACTAGTCGTGATTTTTCGATATAATTATTTGTAAGTTAAACCGGTAGTTATTACTTTAAAACATAATGTGTGTTTACAAAACTTTTAACAATAAAACTTCATAATTAGTGATATCTTGTAAACAATACAAAATAATATAACCAGTGTATGGAAGGGTCTTTTTCAAAGTTCGTTAAAAATGCATATCAGAGGTCGTTTAATTTACACTAAGCGGTGTTAGATTGATTCCCCCTAAATTGTAGCCCACCTGTTGATCACTATATCGAATATCGCTCATTTGAACTCTGCGTAAACAAGGCTTTAATTGATCAGGAGATTGCCCGAAATAGGATATTATTTTTCGTACAATAATTAAGGCGCAGTTTAATCGATAGCCAATTAATTTTGCTAATAGTAGCTAAATAATTAATTAATTATGTTGAAATTTGTTACATAGTAGACTATATACACAAGTACATATATATAATCTTCAATATGATGCCCACAGCCACTTTCTACCATCGTACGGCTCGCCATCGACAGGGAGTTCATCCTCATGTCCTACAGCCCCAATGGTCGCGTACTGCGCGGTTTCAGAGATGTTTCCTCCCACGAACACTCAGGTTGTGCAATGAGCTCCCTGCCGAGGTTTTCCCAAGAGACTACAGCATGGGGTTCTTCAAAAGGGGGGTAAAGAGGTTTCTTCAGGGTCGACAACGCACGCGTAATACCTCTGGTATTGCAGGTGTTCATAGGCTACGGTAACCACTTACCATCAGGTGGGCCGTATGCTTGTTTGCCACCTCAGTGGTATAAAAAAAATAGATGTATATAAAAGTAAAAACATTGTTGAAAAATATCTTAAAATCATTTACGTGGATAAACTAGTATAGTTAATTCTAAATTTTCACGTTGATACATATGAGTATATGGTATGTAGGTACTATTTATTTGTAACCGTGTCGCGTTAACTTTCAATTTGAAATTGTATTTACTTACATTTAAATTTAAATAAACCAATGTATTTATGTAATTTTAAGCATTTTACAAAGAGAGAAAATTTTCAAATTTCCTATAACTTTGTTGTCTACGTACGTACGTTTCGCAATGTCTTTACAAAATCCAAATAGATTTTTATAAACATAATACATTAGTAACTCTCATGTTAGGATTTATCAATGTGAATTGGTAAATGTGAGAATTTTATAAAAACAAGATCATTTTTAAATCCACAAGTTTTTATAGTAACATATGCACATATAACGAACAAAAGGCGGTCTTATCACTACAGCAATCTCTTCAAGGCAACATTTGGGTACAGAAGAAAAAAATAGGCGGTAGCTTTTTGGCGCTATTAATATTGTTTTTTATCGAACAATATCATAAAATATTTAATGTATTTGTTTTCTATCTTTAGCTGTTCTTAATGTAGATTCTGAGTGACAGCTCACTCTGTACAGATATAAACTTATAATTTGTTTAGTACACTCTGACAGTGTATTCGTATACACGATGTATAGTCACTCAAACCCTTTTTTTATATACCACGAAGGTGGCAATCAAGCATACAGCCCGTCTGATGATAAACGGTCACTGCAGCCTGTGGATGACTGCAACACTAGGGGTGTCACGTGCGCATTGTCGATCCTAAAGAAACCTTAATACGCTCTTTCTAAAGAGCCCCATACCTATATCTGTTACATTAAAGCTAATTTTACATAAGTTTTAATCACGTTTTATTAATTTTGCGATAGTATTTTAAGTTAAATAAGTAAAGTATCTTACGTAGGTTTAACTTTCATATGTTAAGGCGATCTTAGGTTACTTTTATACTTTTTTATTTGCTATTTTAAGCTGCATTTTTTTTTATTGCTAGTGTGGGTAGTGTCATCATAACGGCATACGGGGTGCAACTGATGTGGTACTCCAAGCCGTGGACAAAAGGCTTCCTTGTCATCGGGCTGGCGCTACTCGCTGCTAGTGGAGTTGCTAGAACATATAAAAGGAACGCGGATTGGAGAGATCGAGCTACACTATTGAGGTGAGTTTGTAAAATTTATAATAATATTCCCAAAGAGGGTTGACGTCAGGCAGGTGGCCGGTCGTAAAACTAAAAACCAAGTCTTTTTGTAATATGAACAAAATTATATTACGCCGACCCCAAATTATTGGGATAAGGGTAAGAAGATGATGAAGATGATGATTCCGAACTCAGTAGTAAATCATAAAAAATAACAGATTTTAAATATTATTTCTATTCTAATTAGATTTACAAAGACAAATTTAGCCCTTGGAAAGAATTCTATTTCTCAACCTTAATATGTCTTGTTTTAAATAGGTGATTTCGTGGAAATTTTGAGAAGTGCCTAGTCCTAGTCTATGAGGATTCTATTACGTACTAAATTTGAACTTGTACTTGTTCAATTATTTCTAAGATTTCGTCGTTTATTTATTTATTTATTATTACAAAATCTACGGCTTTTAAAATCTATAATATTTTAATGTTATTTTTAAATGCAAGTACTTACTATTTATGGATTTACAATTTATAAAATATTCCTTATTAAGACATTATGTTAACATAACGACTTATATGAAATAAATATTGAATAAAAACGTAAATCGCCGATAATTTTAATATAATGACAAATATTATTTCCATAAAGTGAACCTTAAGCTTCTTTATCATTTTAAAAGGTAAAAAAAATAATAATAAACTATTTCCTATAACCATACCAGCACTAAACTACGACAAATAGTTACGCATTCGACACATCAAATTGTTTTTTCTCTTATTTTCCCATAAGTGATTGACAAAAAATGATTTATTTCTTTACATTCCCCCATAAATCGTCGGATACTTTGCGAATTGTTCGAGAAGTCGATATATTATTTAAGAGTCAATCGCTGTGGCAGCTCTAACACAATGCAAAGTTTTATAGTCACCGGTGACACTATAAAATCTTATATTTCCCTGTAAGCTGCCTGTTATGTGCACTCGAGATGGCTGCCTTTATCGCTGACACCTATTCTTATACATAGCTTATATACAATCTCTTGTTAATACCTAAGAGACAGCTTCAACTATTTCCTGCAACGTTTGAACGATTCTCATAACATTATCAATATTTTTCATGACGGTGACAGTTTATAATTTATTGATCTATCGTAATAGATCATAAACAGACAGTCTCATCATCATCATTATTATGATACCAGCCGTTCATCATCCACTGCTGAACATCAACCAGTCTTCCATATAAGAAAATTATTTTTTAACTGAAATAATATACTTACAAATTAGTCCTATAGAAATTGTATCAAAATTGGTTCAGTAATGCAATTTTTAAGTCAAAATAACTGATTTGCCATATTTGAAGTCTTTTTTTTATTGTGGTAACTCTTTAACCCTCTGACCGTGTTATTTTTTTCGCTACATTTTCGCACATCAATTTGACAACAAATAGCAGTACGTATTAACAAATAACAGTATTTAGCCATCTAGCGAGATCCTAAGAAACAATATCGATCTACCAGAACAAGAATCGCGGGATAACAACTTCAATAAATATAAAAAAAATGTGAGCACGTCGAAATCGCGGGATGCGTAAAATTTAACTAGTAGATACTGCACGCGGATATCGCGGCACGCCCGGTCAGAAGGTTAATGCTCATCGTTATATCTGAATTTTATGAAGGAAACTGAAACAAAATTGTTATATTAAATCATAATCCATCTGCAAAATGCACACTTTATTTTCTACTACACGTAGTTTTACGAGGAAATTTAATGAAATAATTTAACGCGCCGTAAACTGATCTCATTTAGGTTTAAACTTCACAACATTCGATACTGGTTCACACTAATGAAATATGGGGTAATCATATTAAATACTGCAATCTTTTAGAATCCTATTCATCAGTTTTAACCAGTACTGCGGTTTTTTTTGGATTTTATCATGGTTAATGGAATGAATCCATCATGATGGGCTAACTGGCCTGTCTTCATCCTCAAGGATGATATTCAGGTGCTCAGCCAGCGTATCCATTAGTGCAGGCGGGGTTATCAAGAATTTTCACGATCAAAAAAAAAATGAAATATGGGTAATCATATTAAATACTGCGGTCTTTTATGAGGGTACTTTCATCAGTTTTCGATAGTACAGCGGTAAAGTACTGTTAGTTTAGCAATATGGAGCCATTTTGTTGATATTTTCTATTAAGCTGCTTGATGTTTCGTAAATTGTGCTCTGATCATAAATAATGGTGAAAATATTTATACTGACCATGGAAATTAAATTACTGACATGCGAAATTTTGTACTAGAGGGAGACATTGTACTAAAGTCGTCTGCTTGGGCATTTCTGTCCCATTCGTGTTTCTTGCCATGAAGCTGTTGTTTGCATGACTGTTTCGGTTTGAAGAGTGGAATATGGCAGTGAATTTACAGGTTACAGAGGAAAAACACGTGAGTCCACAGGAATGACAACGCATGGGGGGTATCATGAGTGAAATAGTATATTATATACTCTGTTTTGTCTATGCTATTGCTCATGTCTATAGGCGACGGTTACCACTTTTCATCAGGTGGACTGTCAGCTTGTTTGCCATTCTAAGTTGTATAAAAAATGACATTATAGGTTATCTGTGCAGTGCTAACAGAAACTATGAAGGTTTATAGGGTACAAAAATAACTGATTCTTGTAATAAAAATAGATATACATACATACATATCTGTAATTAGGGTAGGCAGAAACAATAGAACGCCAAATGCTTCGATTCAAACAAACCTCTTTTGCTTTTTCCAAACTCATCGCTTCTCACCGGTTACGGGTACTTTTAATTTGGCTCTTCTTCAGCACGTCGCCTATTTGGTCGACATACGTCCGTCTAGGGCTGTATTTATCTCGTAGAAAATACTAAATCAAGTAACCCTATTCTTACATACATTTCTTCCTCTATCCATTTTCATAATTTGTCACAGTTTCCACATAACAATTCCAGTTAAATTCCATTTACCTATTTAAATATCAATTTTCCTTTAAAAGCGAACAAAGTTTCATTAATAGACCGTAAGCGGTGTTCCTAATAGACCTGTACAATAAAATGAGCGCATAATTCTCGTATATCACATATAACAAGATCAAATGTCGGTCCGCTAATAAAAACAACCGCAAACAGGTAGCAAATTAAAAAGTTTGCCAACATTCATAACCCGGGAAATGTTTTAAATATGACATAAAGCGCTTTCAGCGATTTACACCTAGCGCAATATTCGCTTCACGGTCGCCGCATTTGAGCGTAAATTACCGCCGAATGTGTTTTGTTTGTTCCAGAGCGGATTTAGTGACTTTGCCCCAGAATGCTAAACTGCATTACAACTTGGGCAACTTCTTGAGGGAGAGCGAGCAGCAAGACAGCGCTATCAGACATTACAAAGAGGCTTTAAGGTAAACGCGACGCCCACGGTTACACGGCTGATAGAGCAATGTTTAATGATTTAGAAAGAAGAAAGAAAGAAACTTTGTTTTACAGAAATATGCGACTATACCCACACAGGAGTTAAAAAAAAATATTAAGAATTATAATAACTAAACTGCACACAACATATTTATATATAAATAAAGAATATAAAATTAAAAAAGAACAAAAAAATTATGATGTTTCCTTTAATTTCGTGCCGTCTCTTAAAAATTTTAAAGATATACTCGTATATAAAAAGTATCTTTTTAAAATGATGTGTTAAGTGATTAAGCTTTTTCTGAGTACGAAATTTTTCGTTATTTTTTTTTTTTAATACTTTTTCTTAATTAGAATTTTTTATTTTGCAAAGGAATTCCTAAAGAAAGAGGTTCTTAATTCTTGATTATTATTTGAAGCCATGTTACGTAATTATATTGCCAATTTTGGTTGGGTGGCTCTTTTTGATGGAAATTGCTTTTATTGCGAAACAAAAAAATTGTTTATTACAAAGCATATAAATATTTGCCGTGTGGTCCCGGCATAGAATAGGCCACTCCTTCCTTTCCCGTGGGGTCGTAAGAGGCGACTAAGATTGGGCGTGGGATGTACAGCATCGTCCCTCTTAAAACATCTCTAAAGCCTAACTGCGGTTTGCAATCCGCCTGCCAAGCATTGAATCTATCGGCAAAACCCCCCAAGAGGGAGGCTTATGTTAAGCAGTGGATAGTTAAAATGATTATAATATATTTATATTTAGATTTATTATATTTTGCTTTGTAATAAACAGTTTTTAAAAATAATAAAACATTGCCCGCTCTTAGTTGAAATAATATTTAGAGGAAATATCGTAACCTCGACTATAAAGATCGTAAATTCTAATCCGGCCATAAGGAGAACTTTATGTTTTAAATTAACAAGTTTTTTTTTTAATCAAATTTTTGATGAGGCTTTAGTACACCTGAGTGACTATGCCAACCTTATAGCCAATGTCTGAACGTCAGTCTGTCAGTCCGTCAGGGACACCTTTACCCACAGATATAGCCGTTATGCATTGCGACTGTCAGGTTGACTCAGTATTAGATTGATATTACCATTATATAATGGCGTATCGCCCAGAATCCGCTGTTTCAGGTTACAATTCCAGCCACATTTCACTAGCAAATGTAGAAAGTCTTCTACTTTATCACAATACATATTAGTGATTGTTTCATTTAAATTAACAAGTTACAGTATTCATTTATATGCATTACATATTTTGTTTTTTTTTTTTTTATTTCTGGCAACACTAGCTCTAACTATTACATTTTAAAACAACAGTCATGTTCAAATAATCACCAGGTCTGTTAGTGATAACATCGTATTTTACCCAGACTGTGGCCAAGCTACGCGAGCGCCCACAACAATATCGGCACGCTAGTTTCGGGGATGGATAATGCTGAGCACCACTTCTTGCAGGCCATAAAATACAACAGGCACCACGTAAACGCGCATTACAACTTGGGCAAGCTTTACAAGTAAGTGGGAACAATACTTTCTTTGTATTTCAATGAGCGTGTATTAAATCTTTTAGATAGAGTGAAGCCGAAATTTCTTCGAAGATTCTTTTCTTACTGTGGATGTCGTAAGAAGCGACTAAGGATAATGGTCGAGATATGATCAGCAGCATCTTTCTTAAAACATCAACAAAAGTCTAATTCAGATTGCCAACCTACTTGCCAAGCATGGCAACTACTGGCAAAACTCCCGTTATGGGGAAGGTCCATGTTAAGCAGTGGGCAGTTAACGGCTGATATGACAATGATGAAGCCGAAAACTAATTTTTAATGAAACTTATTTTTACCACCATATTTTTAAATGGCTTTGTTACAGCCATAATTATTATTGGATCATGCTAGGTGGCTAGTTTGAACTGAACTTGAACAATAAATTTTTGTACATAGTTGCAAGTTATGTTTTAAGTTTGTATTTGTAAACTTGTATTATGTGCTTCAAATAAATATATAAATGATGCACAAAATAAAATCAAATTTTATTTTTATTTTAGTAGTATAGTATTATACGTAAAAGCAAATATTAAAATTCGCCGAATCCAGAATTTTCAACGTAACTTTTCCACAAATTGGCTGAAACAAAGAGAAAAGTTCGTAAGCTCCGAATATAACAAATAGCCTCGCTATCACTAGCGTTTGGATTTTCGTTTCAATTGAGTATTTTCAGTTATGAATTAATCTTTGTTTCGTAATGTTTTTGATATATATTTTCATAGATATAATAATAAAATATAAAACAAAATATACATATAAAATTTTTGACATCATCCTTCTTCATTATGACCCTATAGCTGTATCTCGCGATTTTATATATATGAATATATATATGTGAGTAGATATATCCTAATCGTTTTGGTCAAGTTGACCACTTCAAAGACTCTGTAAACGAGCATGGGCCCTCATATTATACCTCGCATACCTTATTTTATTTATGAAAGGGCACATGCATTTTGGGCATAAATTTGATGTTATTGTTACATGAATACTCGCTGGTGGTTGGCCCTTCAGGTTGTGTCTTGGAGGTCTTAGGCTTTGGATTTGTTTTAAGGTGCTGCTGCACATCCCTCGCCCTCTCTTAGTCACCTCTTACAATACCCACGGAAGAGGAAAGGGTGGTCCATTCTATGCCGGAAATTATAAATTATAATACACATTAATTATATACCATTCGAAATTGCGAGTAAGACCATAATCTTTACCTACCATAAAATATTTGAGCTAATAAATTTATTTTTGATATTTCTTTTGATATGAACCTAAATTTAGTTTGTCTTCGAAACTTCGTATTAATTTTTATAGTAGGTATACAAGAAGCTACCATACAAGGAACTTGTTTTATTCCTTGCATGATAGACAGAGAGAACTGATTACCAAAAACTTACATACATCTTTCTTTGCCAATACTAGAAATTTATTTATCTACATTAGAATAAAAACGAATTTGTACCTAATCATAACAATAAACTTCTCGCTTTAGAAAGAGCGGCCAAACAATTCAAGCTATCAAAATGCTAGAAAAATGCATATGGCTGCAGCCAAGATTTGTACAAGCGCACGTGGAACTATTGGCCCTTAAACCAGAGTCAGAGAAGAAGAGTATACTGACGAAGTTGGTGGAGTTGGAACCAAATAATTGGGAACATTTCGTGCTTTACGGAGACTGGTTGAGGATGAAAGGTATTTACTGAATAAATAAATACGATACTCAAAATTAAATAAGATATAGATATAGTAAGTGTATTATGAGAAATTAATAAATGATTCAAAATTAATATAGTCCAATTAGAATATTAATTGTATTATGAGACACTAGGTTCCCAAAGAGGGTTGACGTCAGGCAGGTGGCCGGTAGTAAAACTAAAAACCAAATCTTTTTGTAATATGGATAAAATCATATTACGCCGACCACAAATGATTGGGATAAGGATAGGAAAATAATGATAATATGAGACACTAGGTAGCAAAAATATAAGGATTCATCATTTAAAACGGTACCAGTACTACAAAAAATTTGTTTCATAAATTGAAATCGACAAAGAAGCGAACCTGTAATCACATTTACACGTAGTGTTTACTACGGAGGTCTTATTTTTTATCAAGTTTCCAGTAAAATCCAAATTTTCAAATAAATCTCCAAAATAAATTTTGAAAACATTTCTCCTTTTTAATTTTTTGTTAAATCTCTGTGCGCAATATTCCAATACTACATTTATTTTTCCTTTTGCATTAACAAAAATACTATGATATCTTTTAATTGATGAAAATGGAATGGTAAGCCAGTCCACGCTATCGGTTTACACTAGCGAGACACTAGTAAGAGATGATAGGAGAGGACGAAAGCAGATCCAAGTGAGGGATTCAACAAGAATTAATCGAGACAGTTTTTAGAGGGAATCACGTGGAGTTACTATGGTATTATGAATATTACATTATACAGACATCATATTAAAAATTAAGCATAAGTTTTAAAAATAAAAAAGATAATTATGTTTCTATATTATAAATTATTTCCTAACTAGCTGTAATTATATTTCGTATAATGACGGCTTTTATATGCTTGTTTTACAGTAGCCATTTTAAAGTGATTACAAACTCTACAACATATATAACAGGGTTATTAAAGTTGTATAAAGTTTTCGATACTCGTATTATGAATAACGTGTATGCTGGTTACTAAGCGGGTAATATGAATACCGATCCGATATATAGATATTGGGTTATTCTAGACATTAATAACGGAAAAAAGGTCATCACCCATTTCCATATCGTCTATTTCGGTCGGATATCTATTTTAGAATATGCTAAAAGTTTCTTATCCAATATTATTTTTAAGAGAGAAAGGTACCCAAGCACACGACTTTTGTACAAAGTCTTCCTATAGTATCTATGGTATATCTGTTGTGGTTTGTGTGTTGTAAGTAATGCAAATAAATTATATATCTCTCTATGTTACAGGTCTACAAAGTCCAGCCTCAAAATACTACTTAGAAGCTTTAAAACTGAACTTTAAAAATCGAAATATAGATAAACCAATTAGAGGTGACCTAATTGCGTTCAGATATACAGTCTTAATGTACAGATCGTTAGGACAGAAGTCCAGAATTCTACAGCTATTAACAAGGTAAGTATATAAATAGACATATGAATATATATTTTGTATATAACGCACCCTTCGATTGTATCGTTCGATTGTAGCCTTAAGGCTCGAACCTTAAGCCTCAAGAACGGGTCAACTTTTCGTCAGCTAATAGTCAAATTATTTGACAAATTTTTTATCAGTTCTCTACATATTTATGCACATAATGTATCTTGACGTATCTATATTTAATAATTAAAATTTGGTTTTTACATATTAAAAAGGCGCGAAAATTATCAAATAAAATAAATATAAAAGTTACAACAAACATTCATTTATTACGCAAAATTATATAAAAAAGTTGACTCGCTTTTCTCCAAGCATTTGTATGGAGACACTATCTATATAATCAAAGACTGCGTCTTATATCTCTTGTCTCTTTTCTCAATGTTTCCTATCTGAAGATTTTCTGGAAGAGATTGCTTAACAATAAAGCAGCCTTTTATACCTCATTCATTTATTTACCGTATTTTTTTATTTCTGTTACTAATGCAACAAAGAATAAATACGTAAATGAATAACAATCTCATCGCTAGGTGGCACACGTGGCGACGCGGCTGGCCGAGTGCAGCAGCGGCGCACATGTATCTACGCGACTGGCGACTCAAAATGGAGCTCGAGGGACGGGTGCAAATATATTCCAAGGCTGTTAATCCCACTGTACGTTTCTCTTTACCTTTACCTTCTTTGTTGTTAAGTTTTTTATGCTATACGCATTTTATGCTAAATCCACAAACAACCCAACGTGCTGGGTGGACATGCTGATTTTGCATTTACAAATTTACAATTCAATTTGAATATTGTAGTTTGGTCAATTGATTATTTAACCATTATAATAATAGAACATGTTTTGTTACAGAAAACTACTACCTGTTTCGATCACTCGCAACTATCGGGTGAAGTCAAAAAAGCAACAGAAGATAAAACAAAAAAGTACGAAGAAAATAAAAATCAACTAGCAAATTTAAAGCGTGACGACAAAAAAGTTCTAAGTGCTGATAGTGACAGTAATAGTGCGTGCGAATGTAAAAAGTGCGGGACCAAAAAACGTAACGTATCTATATCGTCTCAAATCAAAACAACCCATAATAAATCAGAAATTGGACATAAGGAGAAGAAATGTAGTTTGCATAGAAAAGACAAAACAGTGAAAAACAGTGGAGTCATACCGAACATAGGTGGGTTGTCTGAACATATTCTTATGAAGACATTTTAAGTTGATAATAATGATCATATAAAGTGTGATATTTTGAGTGTGACTATTTAATTTGATGACGTAGTAAAGTTTGTGCTTGCGAAAATTGATTTTATTTCCATAAAGGAACTCAATAACGTTAGGTGTAATGCTGACAATATCGCAAAGTTGGACGTAGATAAGGAAATAGTTGATGTCAAAAATTCTATTAGAAATATTTTATAAGTTGGAATCATCGATCAGTAATTACCAGATTTACATTTTTCTTATAAATAATTGAATTACAAGCTTTTACCTGTTACTTTGTTCGCGTGATTGCGATATATTCACTGATCAGGATAAATAAATTAGCCTGTGTTCTCCATCATATATAGTACCTAAGTACTAAATTTCATAGCGATTAGATCAAGTATTAAGGTGCCAAGACGTAAGAAACAAACATTTACATTTATAACATTAGTAAGGATTATTTTGTTTTGTATTGCTTGTATGCTAATTTGTTTAATATTGAAAATTGAGGTTGCAGCAATAATACAATCATATTTCATTTATACCAATGTGTATATATTAATTTTTTGTACTTTAATTTTCTACATTGCATCATTTAAACAAAGTATACTTATTAAAATAATGTGTTAAAGATCATTGATAGGGAAGATAGCATCCTGTTTGGATGATATTTTATTTCACTTTTTGGACGGTGACTGTAAATCTTGTTATTACTAATCAAATATGAAAATCTAATTTGAAATCAAATTCATTGGAATTTTTCTAAAATTATATACACATTGGAGAGAAAATTATTAGATATCCGATTAAATATAAATATATTATATATAATTCATTCATAACAGTTAACAGTTTTGCAGACTAATAGAATTTTTTACATCGACATCATTAGATAGATAACTAATTTTAAACATTTGTAGAGAATTGAAATGAAAAATATATTTTTGTCAATGGTTAAAGGTTAGGTGATTTTTAAAGGACATGCACAAAGTTTTTACGCTAGCATTAGAATTTATACGATACGTACAAACGGCTCGTTGGACGCAAATAAAAATGTGACAAGTTTCGTTTTATTTTCAAAGTGCAACATTTGCAGTGCAAGTGGTTGTAACGTGAGAGCTATAAATTAAATATTTATTGAATACATGACTTTGTGTTGTCATATGAAATATTATTTACTATTTCGTCTATTTTCGTTATTTGTCTGTCTAGTTTCAATATTTGTCTATTCCGTTGCAGTATTACAGTTACAATTGTTTTTTTTTTAACTGATGTTGCAAATAAAATTGATGCTTTATAGACGGATTGGATTTTAAAAAACTATCCTCCTATATCAATAGTAAACTCAGTAGCTTCAAAAAGAGATTTTTAATTATCATATACTTTTTGTACATGTAAAAAGTACTTGGTAATTTTTAGTAAAATGGTGTAAAGGAATGTTAAACATTATTAACGCTGATTTTCAACCGATTTTTATAATTCTTTTTGCAATTAATCATATATTATATTAGCCATTAACCGTCCACTGCTAAACATAGGCCTCTCCCTACTGGGGGGTTTTGCCAAAAGTGCCATGCTTGGTAGGCGAGTTGGCTACCGCTGTTAGAGACTTTGGTGATGTCTAAAGAGGGACGCTGCTACCTATTCCTCAACCTTTAGTCACACAGTTTCAGTTTAGGAGAAGATGAGTTGGTCCATTGTATACTACGCCCACACGAAATGTTTAGTTCCGTGTTTTTTTTTTCAATGGTTGATAATAGAATGGTAACCCCGCCTGCACTAACGATATACGCTGGCGGGGCACCAGTTAGAGATGATAGGCGAGGGTGAAACTTTTAATTCCCTGTAAGTTAAATATTACTTTTGTCACGATCGATTTTTTTGCGGAATAAAATCATAAATTATGAAATAACGAAATTCTCGTAACGCTAAAGGGAGTAAGACATTATCGTCAATGAATATTAAAAAGAAATGATGAGAAATATTTGAGAGCTTTTATATTTGTATATAAAAAGCTCAAGATCGTTTATCGTGGTAGTCCTTAAGGAAGATTTATGTTCAGTAGCAGACAATGAATGGGTAAAATGATAAAGATGTTGATCTTTATATAGCTAGTAGATAATACTATCTTTAACTCGTGACTTCGTTTGCGTGACTAGAATAAAATTGGCCGGAATAGATCGTAGTCTATATATAGATCCTTTTCAATCCCATATAGTATGTGTATACCATCTGTGCCGCTTATTATTAGGTGGGCCGTATGCTTGTTTGCTACAACAGTGGTATAAAAACTACAAACTTACACTTTTATAATATTAGTAAGAATTTATATTCGTACCAAATGAAAAAAATAACTGGACCAATTTCAATCAAATTTTAATTGGATCCAGATAAACTGCATCAGCTTCTGGTATTACGCAAATCTCCATAAAGGCCATTGTACTAGCTTATGTGCGTTTTGACAAATTTTTGGGATATTTCACAATTTTCCTGTATAGTTTTACTTAACTATCTACAGTTAATTAATGTCTCTAACTACCTCTTAGAGATTACAGTTTAGCCGTCAGCTTATTTTGTTTAGTTTTAGCTTTTGTTTCATTATCAATATTACATATATATATATATATATATATATATATATCATCCTCCCTTAGTAGTAAATACAGAAGAATAACACCTGAGTTCTCAGGAATGGCAACGTATGGGAGGTATCATGGGCGAAAAAGTATACTCTGTTATATCCATGGTACTGCTAATGTCTATAGGCGACGGTTACCATTTTCCCTCAGGTGGCCCGTCAGCTTGTCCGCCATTCTAAATTCCATAAAAAAAAAATATAAACCGTAGTGGTTGCTGTTTTCTTTATTGTATAATTTTCCAAAATTATCAAATTCATACACATTATACTGCTATGTCTTTGTTAACTAAATTAATAACAATACTGTATAATGTTTTTGTGGACTCTATTACGATAGTTATTACACGACAGATATCACGAAGTTAATTATTAATATATCCCGTACTGTGGGTATCAGTGTTGGGATTACAATAATATTATTTGTTTATTTGCATTCCATAAGATTACAATTGGTATCTGCTAATGTATTATTATTATTACAATGAGCATTATGGACTTTGTTGGGAGCAGCGAGTAACCATGTTGTTGTGTTGTGTTGTTGTTGTTGTTGTGAGTTGTTGTGGGTGACCATGGGCGGCTCTATTACGATAGTCACTTACCATCAGGTGAGCCGCATGCTCGTTTGCCATTCCCAATGTGTTGTAAAAAAAAAAAAAAACTTTGTTGGGAAAACATTTTTTTCCCAAACATGCTTAGAAATGTGAGCATTATTTTGACAATCTTCTTCGAGATAAATCAAAATTGCCGTACTGGCCAGATACATGTGGGCGGCGGCCGGCAAAAGTTGTATGAAAATCCATATCTGTCGTGTTTTGCGACCAAATACGAGTAAATTACTATGTAAACTCATATCTGTCCTGTAATTTAAAAATGGAGTGACGTTTTATTTCGAAACATGGCTAGTGAGAAGGTAACTAATAAAAGATTTTATTTAAATTTCGAACTGGCTTGCAAATAGAAACCTGTTTATTGAAAAAAAAAAAACAACAAAGGAACATTATGGCGCGTGAAAAATTATTATTGTTCGTTATTCGTCATTGAACTTAAAAAGTAAAATTGTGTTTTTGATTTCCGCGCATTGTTTGAGAAAAGTACTATACAAGCCTTGGCCACAACTAGGCATTGATGGGCTCACGTATGTGTGCCTCGGCTACGCTTCGGCCCACATTTGTACGTTCGTCCATCAATGCCTCCGCTGCAGTAATGTACTATTATACAGTTTTTATAAAACAAGTTTGATTCGCTAATTATTTTGTACGATATCAGCAATATTTTTTTTTTATTTACATTTTAATTATAATATTTATTATATATCATAAATATAAGGTATATTAATGTAATTATATGCTACAACAGACAGATTGACAGTCGAGATTGTGATATTGTTAGTGGTTCTTAGTTAATAAATAAAAAAAATAAACCGTTCAAAGAGTCGTTTGTGAGTATTAAGGAATGTGCCACATCTAGCTTACAGTAACCGCTTGCCTTTATAAGTCTAAATTGGCGGCAACATCACGAGTGCTTGGTGCATACGAAATTGTAGATCGAAAATTTTTGTACAGTTCATATTGTCCGAGTTTCATATTGCATTTGAAACGGTGTTTAAACAAAACTCAATACTATACAATAAGATGTATATAATATTGTTAAGAATAGACTAAAGGCACACGGCATTGCTTTGAATGTACTGAGAATAAAACAATTGGAATTATACAAGTTGTAGTTTTATTTTATCACTGGCGGCCCGTCCCGGCGTCGCACGGGTGGACATTTTTACATTTTAAAAAGTGGCCTTAATGGCCGTTTGTGATGTTTGTAATGTGAATTTATTGGGTACAGAGGAAAACCACCAGAGTCCTCAGGAATGGCAACGCATGGGGGGTATCATGGGCGAAACAGTATACTCTGTTATGTCCATGGTACTGCTCATGTCTATAGGCGACGGTTACCACTTTCCATCAGGTGGGCCGTCAGCTTGTTTGCCATTCTACGTTGTATAAAAAAAGAGAAAAAACCTATTCTACATAAGCCCAGCAGTGGGCACTTAACGGTTGAAATAATAATATTAATTAGCCAATAACATGCCAATATTTTATTTAAATAAACTACGTAAATATTCTGTATGGGCAAGATCCACTGGTTATGATTACACACAGTTATGGAATTTTGTTATTTATTTATTAAAACATAGTACATGTCCTTTTCGTGGTACTGTTCTCCTGTAATTAGAAAATTACGGGAAAATCCAGTTAATAATTCTTACAAGATTAAATAGCATTTAAATCAAAGAGCTTTTATATTAAATTATTGATCATTCTAATTAGTAAAACCCTGTGTCAACAAATTCGAAGTAACAACCTTTATATTTAGGGGGAAAGGGATTATTAGTAATGGAGACTGAGAATCCCATTGCTAGCAATATACCCAACCAGGTCAACCTCCTTGCGGTTCTCCCTGGAAACTATCATGGTTAATTCCTGATGAATTCATCATGATGGGCTAACTGGCCTGTTTTCATTCTCATCTATCACCCTTCACTGGTGCTCCGCCAGCGTATTCCGTTAGCGCAGGCGGAGTTACCATACCATTTTCACCCATCAAAAAAAAAAAACTTATATAAAACATTTTTTCGTTATTACAAATGGGTTTGAAATAATATCTACGCAAGTGACTCTTAAAATGGGTTCCGAGTGACTCCTACACATATATCGTAGGAATGTTACATCATTAAATATTTGTTTTTTAATATAGACGCTAGTTTTATACCACATTAAATACAAAACAATTTTTTTTTATAACACAGGGGGTAAATTACATGCGGTTCACCTGATGGTAAGTGACTACCGCCACCCATGATCACCCACAACACCAACGGTATTGCAAGTGTTCTGCCGGCCTTTTAAATAAGAATATGCTCTATGATAGGTACATTAAAAGGTGATTAAGTAATATTATAAGATTGTGCGATGGCCCATTTTTTGACCGAATCACACAATATCTTATTCTTGGAAAAGTTGTATCCAGAAAATCTAGGACTGATAAAAAAATGGCTCTTGATAAAATTCCTTCTTATATGTATAGTTTTTATTATACTACTATGGTGGAGAACAAGAATTCGATCTTTGGTAACCAGTAGACCTGATGGTAAACAGTTATCGTGACTGATGGACGCGAGCAACGCTGAAGGTATCACGCGTACGTTGCCGACCCTCAAGGAACCCTATTTGAAGACCCTTGTTGAAGAATCCCATGTTGTAGTCTCTAGGGGAAACAGCATTAAAAAATTAATTCCACAACCTGAGTGTTCGAGTGCGGAGACATTGTTCAGGCAAATTAATTCTCTTGCGTTTCTTGCATATATCCGGTACGTTCCGGAACTAATTGTCGTCAGAACGTCTCGATGCTCTGCTTTATCCAGGCTAAAGAATTTGGACTTGTTTTTAACGATACAAACGAGTATCTGTATTTGTATAAAAAAACTACATAACAGAAAACAATCCGTTCCGGGAAGATAAGGAAGTAAGTAGAATCCAAACCGAGCATTTCTCCATAGTTATAACTAAACTAATATTTTAACTAGCTTTTACTCGAAATTTCGTCCGCGTATATTCACTGACCGCGATAAAAAGTATCCTAGATCCATTTTCATCCCATACAGCACTTCATATTAGCCGTCTGTCTGCTGCTAAATATAGGCTTCCCCTTTGGGAGTTTTCCAGTAGTTGTCACGCTTGGCAAGCTGGTTGATAACCGCAGTTAGGTTTAGGTGATGTTTTCAGAGGGATACTGCTGTCTGTTCCTCCATTATTAAGTCCCCTTAGTCGTCTCTTATGATACCTACGTGAAAGAATGAAGTTGGCCATTCTATGCTAGGACCACAGGACAGTCAATATTGTTTATCAAAATTAACAATGTTGATCACCATTGATTACCACTACAACCTATTTGCTTCCCTTGAACATATCCCCGGCCGTATTTTGTTACAAACGATGTTAGTGTAACATCTACCGGTTTCTCATAACGTATTATTAGTTAACTGTAATATACCTTGCACTGAACCTAACTGCATTGTTCACGTTATTAATCGAGCAACTAACTCTATTGTAGAGGTTATGTTTCGATCACCTCGCCACCTATAATAGGTTTCTAAACTATCAGCAGCTCGGTTCGCGTAACAAAAGGAGTAGCAAGTGGTTGTACAAAACACTTTGTAGTTGATTCGACCTAATGTATTGCCTATAAAGAATATCTTACACCTGAGCTTTACCTTCCTCGTAAATATTCAAGTCTTACAGGAGACAAACAAAATTAGATCTTGTAATTTACTTATAAAGTTTATGTAACAGATGTAATTAATGCAAGTTTATTAAGCCGCTCCAATAAGGACGGAGTTCTGTATTTGCCTCATATGTTAAGTGAAATTTGAAGCATTTATTTTTTTCATTCGACAGGACAGTGCTCTACGGTGTTCGTCTCATATTAATTTTGTCGTGGCTAAATTCACTGCTTCAATGTGGAATTATATTTTGTATTATTGTAATAGTTAGCGTATTAACTCAAGATCAGGGTACAGGTAATGTAAATGATTTGAAACTACGAATGAATTAAATGATTTTGCAAAAAAGCAATAACAAAAATATGAAAAGTAAACAGGTATATGGTACCAATGAAAGTCACAGCTTCGTTTCCTAAAACCAAAATAGAAATCTATTTTTTTTACTAAAAACTATGTGTATGCCAAATTTCAAGACTGTGAACTCTCAAGACTCACTTCTCACTCTAACTCGCTTTCTTTCTGTGAATATTTCAAAAGTAATTTTAATTGATTGAAATATGATAACGTTACTGCGTGGTTTTCGTTTTTTTTTTTATACAATTTAGATTGGCAAACAAGCTGACGGCCCACCTGATGGAAAGTGGTAACCGTCGCCTATAGACATGAGCAGTACCATGG